CAAAATCTTGGAGTTGCTTTAAGGAGTCTCTCCAACGGGTTGAAGGGCGGCCAACCTTGCGCTTCGCGTCTCTCGGATACCAGAGTGTGATGCGAGTGGTCCACCGATCGTCCGTACGTCTGACCACATGTCCGGCCCATCTCTTCTTTGCATTCCACGCGTATACTACGGCATCAAGGATGCCCGACATTGAGCGCATGTCTGTACTGTGCAGATTGCGACATCTCTGCTCACGGCGGTTGATATTCAGCAGGGTCCGTTCCAATGCTCGTTGGGCACGTGTCAACATCAGCGTGGACGCCTTGTTCTCTGCCCACGTCTCGGATGCGTAACAAAGAGCAGGCAGTACTGTAGAGTCGAACAGAGCAGCTCGTATTTTCCTATCCGAAATGAGCTGGGCCGCCTCTCTTATGCGTCCCATTGCCGTCCATGCGCATTTTTTGCGTCTCATAATTTCTTCGCGCAAATTGTTGTCCATGGAAGATGAGTCGACCAAGGTAAACGTAACGGTCGGTATCCGGTAGAGCAGTGCCTTCGAGTGTGATGGGTGACGCATCTGCCCACTCATTGCGCATGACCTCGGTCTTGCTCCGGTTCATTGTGAGGCCGATAGCTTTGCCGACGTTGTTCAGTTCCTCCACCATCCGCTGTAGCTCTGCTGAGTTCTGACTGATAAGGACAATGTCGTCTGCGAATCGTAGATTAGATAGCTTCTTTCCGTCGACGTTGATGCCTTTATCGTCCCAGTCGAGTTGCAGCATCGCGTGGTTGAGTGCGGTGGTGAACAGCTTGGGAGAAATCGTATCACCTTGTCTGACTCCTTTTTCGATCGGCACTCGCAGCTCTCGTTGAAAAATGCGGATAGTGGTAGATGTGTCCATAGTGCATTTTTCCAGCAGGTTTATGTAGCACGGGTCGACACCAGCATGGTGCAGCGCATTCCAAATAGAGTTCAGTTCCACACTGTCGAATGCTTTCGTATAGTCGATGAAGCAGAGCAGGAGCGGCTGCTTGTATTCCTTGGTTCGCTCGATCAACTGCGTGACAGTATGGATGTGGTCCATGCAACAGAAGCCCTTGCGAAACCCGGCCTGTTCCACTGGTTGATATTCATCCAGTTGTTTCTCGAGCCTGTTGAGGATTACCTTCGTGAACAACTTGTATGGCTGCGAAGAGGAGGAGCGGTAGTTTTTCATTAGGTCGCGCTCGCCCTTCTTGAACAGAAGAACCGTGCTTGACGTCTTCCACTGGTCCGGGATCTCTTGCGCGTCCATGTACCTGTTATAGCGCCTGGTGAGCTGTTTTATGACGGTGCGGGACGCCGACTTCAGAAAGTCTACTGAGATGCGGTCAGGTCCTGGTGCCTTCCCCGGCTTCATTTGACGCAAGGCGTGTTCCACCTCCCACTCTTCTATCTGCGGGGCTGCGTCCTGCGTAGGTGTAGGTATGCGTGGAACTGGCATCGTTGATCGGTAGAGATCCGTGTAGAAATTGACGACGATCTCTTCAATCTTCGCTCTCGATGTCTGCGGTCTGCCCATCGCGTCTCGCATAACCGTGGTGACCGAGCGAGAGTCGTTGATGTCTCGACGACATCGTTTGAGACTCGCTCTCGCTTCCGCCGCTTCCTTCAGTCGAGTATTCTTGTAAGCGCTGAATCGACTCCTTCACTGCGATGCGGCACGCTTTGTTGATCACGGCGCGCTCCAATGGTGTTGATGCAGGGTTACGATGGACGACAGCGCGTTGCTGTAGAAGTGCGCGAGCCTTGTCGTCAATCCTGCCATTCGAATCCGTCCTTGTTGTGATAGCCGATGCCATAGCGCAATGTCGAAGTCCTTCTATGAGCATGGTATAGTCTTGCGACAAGTCTTGCGCCTCCTGCCACGTGTAGTGAGCGGCGGCCGTCTCCATGGCGTTTGTGTCGTAATGTGGCAACCGTATGGGAGGGGGTCGGAAGAAGTCGCGTCTTCGGATTCTCGCTCGGAGACGAATTTTTGCTCTAACCAGCCTATGGTCGCTCCCAGTGCGGAATGCATCCACCACGCTGACGTCGAGCAGACTCCACTTCCTGTTAGTGAGAACGTGGTCGATTTCGCTGTGAGTCGTTGCATTCGGACTCTCCCACGTCCATCGCCGATCCTCTTTTTTCGTGAAGAAGCTGTTTCCGTGAAAGAGATTGCATTGCTCTAAGAGGTCCATCAGACGTTCGCCGTTTTCGTTTGTTTCCCGGTTCCGTGTGGTCCGATGCGCGCTGTCGCTGGCATCTCCTCATGGATGACTGCGTTAAAGTCTCCGACAACATATTTGTAGTAGGACCGTTCCCGCTTTATCATCTCCTCTAATTCCTTGTAGAACGCGTCCTTTTCTTCGTCCGTAGCTGTTGACGTCGGTGCATAGCAGTTGATAATACTAACGAAAGTGCGCTTGTCGATGCGTAGACGTAGGATGGCCAGTCGCGGGCCGATCACTTCGACTGAATCGACCATGTGCTCGAGCCGATGGTGGACGAGGAATCCAACACCACCGACATTTCTTCCGCTCAGTTTGGCTCCGAGAACAATTAGGTGGCCATCGTTGGTCTTCCTGGTAGCTGTTTCTTTTGCTTTTGTTTCCTGGAGAGCGATGACATCGAAACGAAGTCTTTTACTAGCCTCCATTAATATGGTTCGGTCGGCTATCGAGGCAATGGTGCGACAGTTGTAGGTGCAGACTCGTAGACAGTCCCCATGCCTCGAAAGCTTTTCGTCCTGTGCACTCCAAATCCTGCGGCGGTTTTTGTCTGCAGGTCCCTTCAGGTCGCCGTTTGCTCCAGTGCACGTAGAGCTCGTGCTTCCTTCTGCGCCGCTCCGGACCCTCTGTGTGCGTGTTGTAGCTTGTTTGTTTACCAATCCTCGGGTAGCTAACCCTTTGAGGTGGTATCTACCTCCACTGTTGGCCGGGATATTCCCAGTTTCGCCCCTCCGCCACTTCGAGGCCAGTGGAGGATTTGGAGGGGTCCTGCCGCCTCTAGCTCACAAATCTTTTTTTTGTCATTCAGTGCTAATACCATCTTGAAGTGGAAAAAAAACGAAAAACAACGCGTAAAAGCTACACTCGTAACAAAATATAGTTTTTCACTTTTGGGAGGCGGAACAACTAAGCCTGTGTTCATACTTTGCGGCAGCATCCATCAGTGTCCACCAGTATCCACCAGCGATTACTAGGTTCCGAGCGTCCGGCAGCGTTATAGATACCGATTTAGTGTCAGCCAGCGTCTCCGAGCGTCTGCCGGCGTCTACCAGCGTTCACTAGCGACCGTGAGTAGAGAGTATGTATGAGTGGAAGAAACAGCTGGATTAGGTGTCGTGAAACCGCACAGTACAACTACACAACACCATACATCAAATTGCATAATTCTGGGCTTTTGCAATGCGCTAGCTAATTAGAGGACCACGGCGCCTCTGTTAGTTATTGGGAAGCCACGAATGTGAGACAATCTAGTGTCTGCGGGCTAAACTCCGTCATCAAGGAACGACGTCTACGAAGGCTTCAACGCGGGAATTGTCTTTAAAGGAACGGTCCGCGATCAAGTATCGAAGATGAAAATATGGCATCGGGAGGATAGTGCGGTCCGCGACGAACAACCCTGTACCGTTTTCGCGGCAAAAAAGTGCAGGGGAGGGGCGCTATAAGGCAAAATAGGTCCAGTGGTTCCTCCTTTTTTCCAGTGACTCCGCCTCCCAAGCGCCGCCCTTCAGTGAAAAACCAAGTTGTGGGACGAGAAAAGCATGAAAATCTAAGCGCCTTCGTTATTTGTAGAGTGAGTGGTAAAACTGGAAATGTATTGCAAAAAGTATTGTATTGCAAAAGTGCACGAAATGTTGGAAGAAAATAGCAACATTTTGAATTGAAAAGCAAAACACAAACTCAAAAAGAACAAAGAAACATAATGATACGATGAATTCACTGAAAAAATAAGAATATTAAAGGTCAGTCTTTCAAACGTGGCGCCACACCTATTTCTGGCAGCGAGCCAATAACGTGGAACGCTCGTCCATAAGCGCTGTTTCCCCATCGTATGCACGTACAAACTAGGATTGTAATGGGGTCCTATTTAGGACATTGGGCATGTTTTTTCTGCTTTTTCCTTCACTATTGTTTTACTCTAAACCTTGTCCTTTTTATGCGAAGCCCAAATTCACTATCTAAGATGGCAAATGAGCGCGGGCTTTGTCTTTAAGGCGAAGTTGACATGGTTTCTGTAAACGATGCCCCTCGCTGAATACATCTTCACATGTAATGTTGCACATTGCTGTCAAAACGACATCATATATAGGCGAACGATCGTCAAAGGACAAGTAAGGGGCCGAAGGCCAACAAACGTGTTCTACCTTAAAACCTTGTTTTCCCAGTAATATCAAACAATAATCCATCGTCAGTGCCAAAGTATTCCCTGACGTTCGCCAGATGTTGATAGGTGTTTCTTGAGAAGTTACTGGCTCTGAATAGCCTTGGCAATCTGTATGAGACATATAAGTACTGCTATTTTCACTCAGCTGCTCTTCAAGACTCGCAATACATTCACCTCTTAGGTTGATCCCATCCACCTCGGGTGATGGGCCAGGTCTGTATCTGCACAACAGTACCATTTTCGCCACTTGAAAATGCATGGCGATGAAGCCGGAGAGCTGTGTTAACTGCATGCTCTTTTGAAGCATAGCACCCACAGACATGCAATACGCCGTACGTCTAGCTAGGGCCAGCCACACTCCTTGTCTGCGCTCTTTTACGTTTAGCTCAGGCACCATCGTGTCCTCCTTCACAGCTGGACTTGGCAGAGTTCAAAAAAGATCGCGTCGGGATCCTAGTCATCGCTATCGAATTGGGAGACTCAAAGGGCACCCAGATATGGTCACTTGCAGCTTAATTTCCGCGCAAGAAGGTACATTTCCGCAGTGTTGGATGCCCTTCTCGCACTACTAGGGAGGTCGTTCAGGACGTGGAGCGCTTTTTGAAAACGGTTTTTTGCATGATGTGGGGTTACGTGCATGGAGTACCAAACTGGTGTTCATTTTTCCTGAACGCCTCTGGGAATGCCAAAAATGGAGTGAAAAAGAAGTCCATGGAAACCGACTGTTTTTGAGCCTGAATGGGCTCTAAATCACTCGCAACTTCGGCCAGTTGCTGCCTATAGGGTCCTTATAAAGGTACTGGTATCGATGAGAAAAGTAGTCGCCAATGGGGTCCTACTTGTGGCACGTAGTCCCCAATTTGGAGCCAAGTCTTTCTCCCACTGGAGTCGCTATGTACATTCGTTTGAGGGACTTGCAGGGCCATTCTGACGCCAGATTGGGTTGATGTCAAGAATAAGTGTCAGAATCGTGATCAGGACCATCGATTACCCCTATAGGCAAACTTTCGGCCAAAAAAATTTTTTTGACTTTTTTTGAGTTGTGATAGACCGACCATTTGGTCGTCGGTGATGACCGGAGACCCACAACTTTGGAGCTGCGATGACGTAGCGATGACGTGGTGGCCGCCCGGGCAGCCGCATCGCGGATTTGGTGCTCATAAGGTCCATTCATACTTGGCATGGGCATGGGTGGCCGCAGAACAAGTGAAAAACCATCCTGGACATTTGTCGACCCCCGCGACGGCTCGCTCAACGAAGATGTCGTCCTCCCCTACCAAGAGGAGAGACTCATCCGATTTCTTCATCAAATGCACCTGGAGGAATGATGACTATTTTGTTCTTTTTTTCGATGGCGTTTATGGTTGTTGCTAGTTTTTTGTTTCCGTACCACTGAATGAGGGTTTCGATAACCAGCAAAAGTACGACTTCAACAAAGTGACTCTTGAGCATAACCCAATGCACAGACTCAAAAAAGTCAAAAAAAATTTTTGGCTGAAAGTTTGCCTATAGGGGTAATCGATGGTCCTGATCACGATTCTGACACTTATTCTTGACGTCAATCCAATCTGGCGTCAGAATGGCCCTGCAAGTCCCTCAAACGAATGTACATAGCGACTCCAGTGGGAGAAAGACTTGGCTCCAAATTGGAGATAAATGGCACTAGAGCTGAAAGTAAATGCCATAGTCATGATCAGGGCATCGAATAACATAAGCTCAGCTTTCAGACAAGTTCTTGCTTAATGGTATGTGAAATCGAAATTGCTGAATAGCACCGACGGGTATAACTATTTAGGATGTGCCTATAAATGGCAGATATCCGAGTAAAATTCATTAACAGACGTATATGGAAGCGACAACAACGGAAAATAAAAAATGCAAAAACGTGCAAGCCGAGGGGAGTCGAACCATCATCCCCCATCCCCACTGCCTGCTTGGGAATCCTCCACGCTATCCACTAGGCCATCCGATCGTTGGCACAGGCACCACTTCGATTGCTTAAGAGCCCCCGAATTGGCCGTCGACTCTTAACTACGTGCCACAAGTAAGACCCCATTGACGACCACTTTTCTCATAGATACCAGTACAACCTTTATAAGGACCCTATAGGCAGCAACTGGCCGAACTTGCGAGTGATTTAGAGCCCATTCAGGCTCAATAACAGTCGGTTTCCATGGACTTTTTTTCACTCCATTTTTGGCATTCCCAGAGGCGTTCAGGAAAAATGAACACCAGTTTGGTACTCGCTCTTCCGTCTAGACCAACACTGGGTCCAAACCGCTCAAGATCGCAAACAATGGAGGGAAGCGTGTGCTCGTCGCTGAAGAGAACCGGCTGAAGAACGAGCGTCCAAGTATCCAAGTAAGTAAGTAAGTAGAGGCGGCAGGATATCGCGTCGCTGGCATAAAACAAGCAGGTCCTGAACACTAGTACAGTTAGGCTGCCGGAGGGTCCTCAGGGTTCTCCATAATCAGCGCTTTTTTTTCTTCGGTGAAGAGCCACTTCGCGCCTATAGGATGTGTATAAGTGAAGGCCACTTCCAGCTTTACGCAATCGCGGGTTTTCGCTTCAAACACATTTTGCACTACTGTGATTTGGGTGTGCGATGAAATCAGAAATTCTTGGATGCCAATTAGTCAAGCAGTGACGAAGAGAGGAACATAGTCACTGAAAACGCCCTGAATAAGGTACCAGCACTGGACGGGTATCTGAAGAAGCAAGACACCGCTGAGCGAGCGAGAGACCAGAGAAAATATTAGAACAAGGAGAACGAACAAGACAACGCATGCAGTCTTGAAGAACACAGTCC